AAAAGTAAAAAGTATTCTTTTTCAAAATTTTGGTTAGATGTGGCGAAACAAATTTTACAAAGTATATGTATTCCTGACTATCAAAAACATGGAAGGATATCTGCTGGTAACACACCGCATCGTTTACAAGCAAAACAATGGGGACATTTTCCAAGGAATATTCCACCCACAACAGCTAAAAGAAATCCACAAAGAAGGTGTAGAGTATGTGCAATACCGAAAAAACGCAGTGAAACTACGTGGGAATGCAAGGAATGCCTTGTGGCACTACATATTCCAGACTGTTTTGAAATATACCATACTGCACAATATTATTAATAAATAAAATTAGCGTTCGTATCGGTGTAAAGTGACGCCTCACGGCGAGTTACAGTGGAGCGTTCTGGCACGTGCATCTGGAAGAATTACGGGGAATTGAAGTTTAATGTAGAAACGATTTACGAAACTCTTGAAATTTCCCTAATAAATAAATTCTCCAGAAGATAACAGACATTCGATATATACAAAGAATTTCGAGATTAAATATAGGAAAAGTTTGGAAGCCTCAACTTCACCACGGTTTATTTAAACTCCAGCTCTGTAAAGAACACGGAATCTCCAATTTTACGAAAGCCTGTCGTGCTAAATGCTCAAATAAACACTCTCCAAGAAGCAGCTCGCGGTGCAATCGTAGAAAAGGGAAAATAAACGTTTCCGAAGCAGTTCAAAAGAAACCGCTGGTTAGAAGCATGAACTCGATAATACTAACTCGTCCACGTGTGTGCCGTTCCAGCATTCCTTGGTGTTGCTAGCAGCGACGACGAGGCCGTCGTTGCAAAGCTTATAGGGCAAATACACCCAGAACTGTCTCGAATCTCTGACCCTCTGCCGCGTTTCTTTCACCAGTTTGTCTAATATGGCAGCGGTGGATGGTCGATCGTCGGTTTGTGTCTCTTGATCGAAATTCAACGATTCGAGTTCCAATTCCCGATTATCGCGACGTCTTCGCCGACCTAACACAGGTCGACCACATCCGGTGAACACTCTTTGGGAGACGTCGTGGCTGTTCTCTTGAAAGACCATGATCGCCTCGGAGATTTTCAGGTTAATCGGCCGTACCAGCATTTCGATGTTGAAGGGACCCAACAGACGATCCGCTACTTTGTCCACGGCCTCTGGAATTGGAATTATGGCGACGATTTAGGTGATGTTCTGTAGCAGGTGTGGCCATAGCGTGGCTCTTATGCAAATAAAACGTACGCTACCGTGCATAAGTATTTGGACACTATGCAGGAAATGTACTTTAAATAAAACTCTCTAATATAGTTTTCGCTTGCGATCTTATCCCAGGCGAGCCACGTAATGTTTATAAATACCAATGAAAATAACATTTGACATGAGTTAGTGTAAATGAAAAAGCAACAACTGAAATCGGTGGAAAATTGATGTTGCGAAAACACTTGAGTTAATCGACTTCAAGTGTTTGTCGAAAATTTCACGAAAAATTATTACCCCAATATGTTGTGCCAACGGTGAAACATGGAGGTGGTAATGTAATGTTTTGGTGCAAATAAAGTGGACAATTTAGTAAGAATAGATGGAATTCTACGAAAAGAAGGATATTTCAATATTTCAGGTAGACACATAGACGAACGCAATATTTCTTAATTTTCATTAATTTGTTGGTACATTTATTATCATATACTATTGGGTTGGCCAGAATGTTCGTGCGGTTTTTCAAGTTGGCTAACGTAACCAAGTTGATGCAAACGATTTTTTACATTGCTACTAATTGATTTGAAATTGATGTTGTGGAGGTCAATAGCACTTTGCCTCGTTTCGATAGATTTGAATGATAAAAAATTCCTTGAAAAATTATTATAAATGCTAACTTTTTTGGGGAATTTTTGTGCAACTTGCAATGCACAGTGACTCCAAACATTTGGCCGGTAGTGTATGTGTGAAATATGGTAAATTTTAAACTTCTCATTGCTTGTTTTGTTATCAAAGATAAATAAACGGCTCTTTCAAATATTCCTTCCTGAAATGCGGCTTCCAAAGGTAGTGCAGCTGGCCACCCCTGTTCTATAGGGTAAGTTCGATGCAAAAGGAGAAGTTTGTTATATATTGGCAGTGTAATTTTGTCCTATACCTCTCTCCTATCTTTCATTAGTTTTTAGTCATCCTGCCTCCTTTCCTTAGAAAAGGAGAAGTTTGTTATGTATTGGCAGTGTAATTTTGTCGTATACCTCTCTCCTATCTTTCATTAGTTTTTAGTCATCCTGCCTCCTTTCCTTAACTGTAAACAAATCCGCATCATCCTAACGTTAGTCACCCCGAAACCTAGACCTCCACATCATCCTTTACTTTTACTCATCGCTGAACCTAGACCTCACCGCCCCTCCCTACATTGACCTCTGAGACCAATCCCTACTCTCGTACTTACCGAACCTATATCTAGAAACCTTTTCCGTCGAAACAGCAGATTTTTGTCTAGTGGTCTTCACGCACCGAACGTCACCGAACTTTCTAATAAAGTCGAATAGTACTACGCGCAGAATAGCTCCCTTATTTCACCCCAGTTTCCGTCAGGCTCTCCTACCGCGTACCTATTGAATATAATAAACCAACGCAAGGAATCGCGAGCCGCGGAATACAACAATTTTTTCAAGCGCTGATTTAGCGAAATGTTGCCAAACGTGTATCGATTGCAATGCTTCTTGTTTTGTGCAAATATCAGGTCATCCCTTAAGTTCGTGCCGGAGGTGAGAAGTATTTTAATGAAAATCAAACGAAATAGTGATCTTATGTTGTAGAATGAGAAGGTACTTAGGTTTTTGTTGTTAAATTTAAAAGTTCGTTAGAAATATCGATCGAAATTATAAAATTCCTACTATGTCAATATAGGAATTAATAATTAATTATTTAATAGGAGTTAATATAGGACTAATAATCCTCATTTAATATGTTAAGTTTTGGCAGAATTATGGTTATTTAAATTTAGACGACCAGATTCGACGGAACTCTCCGAAAGACCTAATAATTGAATGTGTGGGAAGAAGAAGGGAAGGGTCTCGGTGGATTTTATTTTTGGGAAACTGAGAAAACTGATTTGCAATTAAACTAATGATTAAAATGGCAAATTTTCTATTAGGAAGTTATCCTACGAAACGGTATGTAGTAACATTTCCAAAAGGACAGTTGTCAAATAATTTTACTAAACAAACAGCTACATTATTATTGCACAAAATTTTATTCTTCGTCCAATTTCAAAGACAGCGATTAACCCTTTCACTGCGGCAGATTTTAACACGTAACGCGTGTGGTAGACGGTAGGTGTTCAACCAAGGCCGCAAAATCTTTTCTTTAGGCCGTATCATTTAGGCAGTGCGTCAAAAGGCTCTAGCAAGCCGGCAAATTTTCAAAGCGTCTATATTAAGGGTTAAGTAATCCTCATTCCTGAAAGTAACGAATTTCAAGGATTCCTAACTCGACATTCGAGGAAACTCGTGAATTCTTCGACTATCGAATCCTCTCACTCTCTCCCTCGCTCTTCCTGTTTTCTCACGCGATTACCAATAAATAAAATGGCCTGGTTGGTGTGAACCGTGGCCGTGTTCTCGAGCCTGTAATTACCACGGAACAATGCTCGTGGAAATTACTCACCGACGAAGTGATTCCATTCAGCGTCCAGAGCCGCATGTTGAGCCAGGCAACCCTTCATCACGTTGGCGCACATGTCGCCGCACGCTAGCACGTTACCCGTGATCCCGCTGCACGACGGACAAACTGTCATCCTGGTGAGTGCAGCTACACAATCCGGTGACGGTTTCAGCTGTGAAAAATCAACGATTTTCCAGCTGTTGTAACGTTAGTTCACGGATCAAGTTTCGTTGACGGACATAGAGGTACTTAAGGTTCGACGATGTCGAGATAAGTGTGCGGGTTTAGAAGTCGGTTAGATTAGATTTGGGGGCTGTTTCGAGTTGCTTTCAAGACTTAACGTGTTTAGGACGGTGTGATCCACCGATATATATTTTGCGGCACAATTTTGAGAAAGTTACTCTATTTCGAAGGGTGTCCACAGGGGGTGTGTGAGAACCCGAAAATGTCGGGTCGAGGATTTATCTCGGGATCGGGTCGGGTTCCCGAAAGTATCTCGTGATTCGAGATCGTCAGGATTCCCGAGAATTTCAGGATTCCCGAAAGTAGAACGGAACTATTATCGGAGAACGTTGAAAAATTAGCTTTTCTACACGAAAATATGAAATAAATCATATCTATCACATATTACCATTTTCGTTCCACGTTCTATTTCTTATAATTTTATATTTCTCGAGAATCCCGAAATTCTCGAATTCTGAGATACTTTCGAGACAAGACCCGAGCATCGGGTTCTCGCACACCCCTGGTGTCCACATATTTCTACGTAATCAAGGACAGAAACACGTGGACACCCTTCAAAATAGAGTACCTTTTTTTAAATTCGGCCAAACGACTTGAGTTTTTTTTTCAGAAGTTAGGATTAGTTTACTAGATGACAAAAAATTTGGAAAAAATTGCAATTTGTGGGAATCGCGAAGAAAATTGTAAAGGTCACCGTTTGCAACCTTTTTATCTGGGCTTCTAATGAAGATTTAAAACATACACTACCGGCCAAAAGTTTGGAATCACCGAGCATTGCAAGTTACACAAAAATTTCCAGAAAAATGTCAGCGACTTTGAGAATTTTTTATCATTCGAATCAATTGATATGAGATAAATTGATAAAAGTAGAATTGACATAAAAAATTAGCAGCAGATTTAATATTGATGAAAAGTGGGAGGCGATTCGAAATTTTTGGCCGGTAGTGTACGTTTTGTAGATCTATGTCAATTATACACATGCAGAAAATTTCATGGTATTTCAAGCAATTGTCCCTCGCAATTTCTATACTCCCAAATGATCATCAATTAATCCCAATATTCCTTAAGCCCCAAACGTAAAACTTCCAATTTCCCCTAATATTTGACATAAAATATTGATATTCTATAGGACATAGAATTTTTTCGAATTTTTCACAAGTTATTCTACACTTGAGAAATACGAGAAAAGATGTACGTCTTACCGACTGCATATTTTTCAAGACATCCGCAGCCACAGTTAAAGCTTGGCGGAAAGCCCTCGTTGCGACGAAGGACCTCTTGATCTGCACCCCCAATTTCTGAGGGACGTCACCGAACGGTCTCATCTCCTTCATGTGTTCCCTCACGCACTCTAAATACTTATTGTCGAACTTATACTGGCTGTTCAGAACAATGAACATCTTCTGATAAAGGATGTTGAAGAAATTATCCATGGCATCGTCCAGATCCACCTGAAACAGTAAAACAATCCAATAGAAATTAACAGAATGAAATAAAATCATTATTATTAGGTTGGTGCAAATGAAATCTCGCGTTTGTCAATAACTGAAATTGGCGGTTCGTATGATATATTGAAATTTTGTCCGATCGTACATTTTTATAGACAAAATAGTCAAGAGGAAGGAATTTGCTGTGGTGCACATGTATTGAATAGCAAAAAATTCATAATACAATTGTTCTGGCGCGAATAATCGGGATATTTGCGTAATCTTTTTACATAAATTTCAACTTGAAAAAATTGCTGAAAATATAAATTTAACATTTGTTAGGACACTTTAACGTTGGTGTACAAAATTCAAGATGACTTTCCATTGGAAATGAGCCAAGAGGAGAAGACCAGATAACGTTTTAAGAAAAGTTATTGAAAGCAAGCCACTGTAAAAATTATGAAATTTTGCCACATCCTCCCCTATGCGCTCGACATTTCCCTAAGAGACTAGCATTTCTTCAAACACTTGGTAGAAATGAAGACACTGTGAAAGTAACGTTGAAAGAATTTTTCCATTTAAAGATTAACAATTTTTACAAATTTGGAATAACGAAGCTAGTTAATCCAAATTTATTTTGACTAAATACATTATTTTTTGAAGGAACACAACGTATCTAATGTTCCATTTAAAAAAAACCACGTTCCCTATGCACCAACCTAGTACTTTCGATCGGAAATTCAAACTTAACGTTTACATTTTATTCATATTAAAAAAAAATATAAATTAACAAACGAAATAAAAATAAATAAATTCATAAACATTTGTCATTTTTTCTTTTCAAAAGTTTCACTGCAAAACTGTCTTAGAGTTACTAATGACTAGCGATCGATCGTATAAAAAAGAAGTGCTAGAAGTGTAGAAGCTTAATAAGATTTCTCACTCTTAAAAAATGGCCCTTCGATTTTATCAATTCCTCGGAATAATTCTTCCCTGCAGATTTCCCTCCCAAAAAAAACAAAAATTGGCTGAACTCAATAATAGTGATTCAACTTTACCCAAACGCAGTAATAATTCACCTGCCCCCTCTCTTTGAACAGCTCATTTCGAAGGAGCCATCTAATCGAACCTTTGAATCCGCGAAACAAAGCGTGCTCAACTCGGCGAGACTCTCATCAGGATCGTCGATCGGCCATTCACCGATGTTCCTTTTTAATTTCCATCCATCCCCGATATATTTCGACCCCATCCTACCGAAGGAATAATCCTGCTCGACGGAACGTATTATCGAGGCACAGACAAAAAGAGAAGGAAAAATGGAGTGGAGCAGAAGAGAATAAGAGGAGAAAGAAAAACGATAGGTACTACTCTCGATGTATAGTCGAATCGTCCAGCAGTAATCGATATATTATATACAGGGTGACAAGGAAATAGGTGGCCAAACCTTGCCACCGCGTTCTGCTGTTTCTAAGGATGGAAGAAGCTCGTGTAAACGTACGTCAAAACACTCTTCCTTTCCGAGATATAAACACCTTTCGATTATGATGGATGTACTGTAGGAATGCTTGAAACTTGCTTGAAGATATTGCTGAAAATGATTTCCTTCTGTAACAATACATGCTTCGAATCGACGTTTTAAACACTGTCGAGGACGTTCGAAAATTCCTGGTGTACTTCGAATTTCTTCACATGCAGCAGTAATCCGGTTTTTCGATACTTCCAGTCCTAAACACGCTGCCTTCGATGTCAACATAACTTGCTCTAACATATTGGTTACTTATAGCAAAAGAAATGATGACAATGCTTGAAATTCTGCGTCTGATAGCTGTTCTAGTGAATTTTCGATATCAGTAAAAAGTGTCTGTATTTTAGAAAGCAAGAGTTTTCGGACCTATTTATGTTTACATGATCCTATTTTTCATCCTTAAGTAATTAAGGAATTACGTAATAATAATTAGGTAATTAGGTAATTAAATAAAGAAGAATTAAGTAATTAAATAAAGTTTCATTGTCACCCTGTATACACAGACTGTCCCATGTAAGTGTCGCCACTTTCAACACTTTCCTCGAATTTTACGAAAGATTGTGTTAGACAAAAGGTTAGGACTGCATCACTTTCGCAAATCAGAATTCCTTTATCCGCATTTTTTCGGAAACATAAATATTAGCTTTTGTTTTTTAAACGGAACTGTGTTATTTTTTAAATACTTTTTATTAGAACGAATCGTAAAAAACGCACACAAATAGCGTATAAAAAACTCTTTCTGAGCGTTCGATTACAGTAAGTGTTCGAATTGCAATTCATTTTCTTGTAAATATAGCTCCGATCGATGAAGCAAATTTGCATTTGTTCCCGCTATGATGCCCTCACGACTAACTTCTTTACATACTATGCGGATTCTATACTTAAAATTTTCCATGTTTTGAATTCGAATGGCGTAAACTACGGATTGTAAATGACATCATAGAAAAAGAAACTCAATTGAAGCAAATCGGAGAAACGGGATATTTAAGAAATAAGTCGATAAGTATCCAACCAATGTTCTTCGAACTTTTTGTTTAAATATTCACGAACAATCCAAGCGATACAAGGTAGAATAGATATTCTTGTTGGAAATAAATACAAATAGTTTGTAATAACTTTGAAAGTGCAGAACGAAGGAAATTTAGGCCCCCGCTTTATAGCAACCCGTCAGACTCGTGGGACAGATTTTGTTCAAGATGCGGCAAAAACAGTTATATTAGTAATAAAGATGAATTTTAATTCTAACTTTCGTTTTAATTTATGAGATTAAGGATTACCAAATGTAATTAATTTATAATATATTAGTTTCTCTTGCCTAATGCAATACTAACACGGTAAATTGCTGACGCTTGCATGCGTAGCGAGTAAAGAAAATCGTAAGTCAAGGGGTCAAGTAGTTTCGTCTGAAACGAAAAATTCCTTCACAGCACAATTCTACACATCGTACGAAATAAAAAAATGTAATTGTCCCTTTTCCCAGAAACGATGGGAAAGTTATGCAAAATGCGGTTAAAGGTAATCGTACTAATAACTCATTTAGTTGAAACTTTTTCGTCTCGTTTTCTTTCGGACGACGCTCCATTCGGAATCATTTGGAAACTCATATTGAGTATTATCGACAAAGATTGTTGTACATGCTACAATCAATCGAAAACGGAAACGGAAAAGTTTCAACTAAATAAGTTATAAGCATTTTTCATAATTTTCCCATCGTTTCCGGAAAAAATGACAATTACATTTTTCATTCGTTAGGATGGGTAGAATCATTCTGTGAAGGAATTCTTCGTTTCGGATTAAATGACCGTGCACTAATGCGCATTAAACATTAACTGCAACTTTCATTTGAAAATTATGTTCTCAAAACCAGTGTGGATCCATCTTTAGATCGGAAGTGACTGTTATGTCGATTAATAACACCATTACGTACATGAAAATTTACATTCATCTGTCTGTAGAATGTCGTTCAATATTTCGAGATTATTTTCGTATGTATCATGCTGTCAAATTTAGACGACGTGGTTTATCCGTTACGCGTAAATGTTGCACTTCATTCATTTTGCATATAAGGATGGTAATCATTCTTCTGCGTAATTCTATTAATGGAACTGCGAGATAAATCGGTATCAGCAGCAATAACTCGAATGGAAGTGAATGGGGATTTTCTTCGAAATGTGTTGAAACTATAAGAGCATTGTCGTCAGATGTAATTAGATTTGGTTTGTTTCTTTCTCCGTTTTTAAGGTGTATGTTATATTATAAGGTACATATAAGCCGTTCATTTTGATAGTGGTGTAAGTCCATTTAAAAAAAAATCGAGATTATGCATGAAATATCATAGACCAAAACAGTTTAAAAACATAAAATTATCACCTCTGTACAAGACTTCTGTACCAATAACCTCAGCTAAATATAAAGATACGAGTGATTATATTCCTTCACAATTATTTCAAAAACCTTTCTCATGGTGTTGTCACGAATCGCAATATGCTTGTTGCGAAACTGATAATTGTCGCTCTTTTTGAGTCAGACCATTTAAGGAATCTACTCGGGATAGGGGACTCAGGCCCTTCACAATTATTTCAAAAACCACTCTCATGGTGTTGTCACGAATCGCAATATGCTTGTTGCGAAACCGATAATTGTCGCTCTTTTTGAGTCAGACCATTTAAGGAATCTACTCGGGATAGGGGACTCAGGCAGTGCACGGAAGATTGACTATTAACGCCCAACAATTTGCTATTAAAACTGTGTATTTGTAAATGAACGTGAACAGAGCGCGAAATGTCTAAGCTTACTGGTCGGAAAATTTTGTGTCGTGTCGTGTGGTGTTCGCTATTTTATAAGCTACGTGTGTGTTGTGATTGGTGGTGTGATGCTGTCGTAGGTGGTGGAAGTGTTTGGTGATTGGTTTTTTCGGTGTGTTTGGGGAGTGTCTGGTGGTGGTGTGAAAGTAGAGAATTTGTTCTTATATTTGTTACATTGCTTGTTGGAGGTGTGAGGTCATGTGGTGTTCCGGTGTGAGAGGCGTCGAGTTTTTGGGTGTCGTAAAGTATTTTTCGTGTCGGCTAAGACCTCGCTTTTTGGACGTGCTGGTCTATCGGGAATACCGATGTATTGTTCGGCCGTACCGACGAGCCGAACGACGTCTGTTACGCATGTGACAATGTCTATCCATCTAAGGAATTTCATATATGTAAATAGACATAAATCCAAAATTATTTCCAACAGAAGACACAAATTTTGTAACTTGTAACGTGTATCTAAACTGAACAAAAGTTCACTATAAACCCAACCCCAATTTTTCTTCGAGCAATTCCGATATATTTTATGTACCTCGAAAGTTCAAATATTTGTCACCGCGAAAAACATAAAGTGAGACTACTAGTGATTGTTAATATTTTCGAGTCGATTAAAACGCGAACCCTTAAATATCTCGATATTTAGGAAAATGGACTTACACCGCTATAAAAATAAACGGCTCATATATATATACATCGCGAGTGTATAAATTCGTTACCAGCAGTGATGCGTGCAATTGCAACAATAATATATTCATGCGGGGCCATTTTCGAGCGTGCACGAGAGCCGAGGCGGGTCCAAGTGGCGCCGCTGAATAATTCTACTCGATTTGAATGACAATCGAGCCCGTCTCGATCGTCTCGCAATGTCTCTGTCTCTTTTCGCAGCTTCTCCTTTCCCCCTCCTTTCGTAAGCGCGTGATCGATACTACGTGACGAGTCGATGTTCGAGAGATCTCGTACGCCTGACATGATGTATGTATATGGCGGACACGAGCATGGTCAGTGGATTGTGTTGGCGCGGAAGTGTGGTTATGTCGAGGTTAGGAACGTTTTCAGAATCGTTTGTTCGAAGCGTGTTGAAAGGTTAGGGTTAACTACGTTTTAGGGTTAACCTGTTGAACGAGCCAGACGAGGTAATTCGTCGTTTGAATGATTGGCGTGTGAAATGAGAGTATGCCTGTTCAGCGATATATTTTAATTGTAACGTCGAGAATATGAAGTTTATCGTATTGAGGTTTGTGAGAAGTAAAATAAAGTAATTGTGTGAAATTGTTACCGATTTTTAATTGTACGATTAAGGGATTGAAATTTAGAGTGACATATGGATGCATTAAAAGGTTAATGCTGTGTGTGGATGGATTGAGTTAACGAAAATTTTTGTACATGCTGACATAGAAAAGGTAAGGAGAAATTTTGTAATAAAGGAATAGGGCTTGAAGTTGGTAAATTGTGCTCGAAATATAGTATAAGAATAGTTAGTGTCGTAACAAATGGTATAACTGTTGCTTTAAATATGTTTGTAATATTAATAATATTGTAGTAATTAAAGGTAATTAATTAATAAAGTAGCTCACTGGTTCAAAATAGAAGCACTGAATATAAGGAGTACACTAATTGAGAATATTTATGGTGAAATTTCAATAATTATTGCTTGAAATATATTTATAACGTTGAAAATATTAATATTCATAATTTTGCAATAAATTTATTCGACATAGTCAATTACTATTATAAAATAGAAGTGGTTTGTAGAGTAAATACACTTGTTCAGTTAAATACGTGTATGAAGAAACTCAACCTACATATGTACAACTGGCTTATTAGGGAAATGGTTACAGTGCGTAACTTCTAATTCAACGGTCGTGGGTTCAAATCTCGGTACGATTTTTCTTCACTTTTCACTTGGAATTATTAATTTCAAAAATTTCTTAGAGGGTCGAAAATTGGTTATTCTTTCTCAATAACTATGTAACCTCGTCAGAATTGAATATGAAAAAGAATTCTATACGCCGTTCCTACTCGAAAATTATTCCAAGATATTGCTCCTCTAACAATAATTCTTCGAAATTTTCAATTTCCCCTTGTGAATTTCCAACTTCGATTTCACTGTAATATCCCCCAGTACAGATTTAAAAAATAATCCCCAACAATAAAAAATATCGGACTTGTTTAATAAATTAAAAATGTCATTAATTCTCAACTAATTTAGTTCCATTTCCATGGGAATAATTCCGACATTAAAATACAAGAAAACTAAAAAGCAATTCTAATATGGAAAATACACAATTAAACTACGAAAAGTAACAATATAATAGTCAATTAAAGCACAAAAAAGTCTAAAAAGCAGTAACCGTACAGTTAGTTAATAACAGAGCTCTAAGAAATATCGTACAAAATACTACTAGTAACAACAGTAGTGAAAGGTACACGAGTAAAAAAAAGTCATAAATAAGAAAAGGCTTAAAGAAACTAAAAGTAAAAAGAAACCATCGCTAAAAGAAAAATATAATAAACCATCCAAAAAAAGAGATGGTATCAAATGGTTAAAAAAAATAGCCTTAAAAAATTAAGTTCAAGTTAAAAATCAGAAGAAATTTGCAAAAATGTGAAAAAATCCTCGATGCTACAAAGTATCCTGGAAGCGAAAACGAAGTCTCAGAGCTCCGTTCCCCCAGAAAACAACCCCTGACATTAATTCCAATACAAGAGACAACTCCCGACAGATAAAGTGAAACCGCTTGGTAATTGCGCCAGCCCACGAGAGGAAGAACACCCCTCGTGACCTTCCCATTGAACGAACGAAACCAATGAACCAAAGAGAGTGAGTGAGATAAATCTACTAGAACCACGCCGCCGTGGATATTTTCTGGCCCTTTATCGAGAAACGCTAGTGATCCCCCGAATGTCAAAAGCATTGATTAAACTCGCCTTCGCACGAGAAGCTTTCTACCTCTCGTTGCTCGCGGTTAAACGTCTGCTGGACGAGGGTCGAGGTTGTTCCTGGCCGATTCTAAAAGTTTCACCCTCCGCGACGACGACGACGTCGACGTCGACGACGGCGGCGGCGGTGAAGAGGGGGAATGATAGCCCGGGGATACAGAGGGGAACGGATAAATTCTTCCGCCTTTGAAAATTGAGCCTGACGCCGCGACCCCCTATCGATTTTATCATGGAATCTGATTTGCCGCGTCGCGAATGAAATTGGATACTCCTTTCTAGCAATGGGCGAGTTAATCTGCAACGAAGGAATTTTGAAATTTGCTTAAAGGAGGCAAAAAAAATAAAAGCA